GCCCTATATTATAGAATTTTTAAATCTATTAATTCTTTCATGACATATTACTATCATAGGTACACTGTCTATATCTGTCTTGGTATGTGTGTATCTATGTCTTCTACATAAAAAGGAGTAAGATTTTGTCTCAATTGATCATGTTGCTCTAGCGGAAATAGATTGCTCCCTGATCCCTGACTGTGTGCACCCTTGCATGTCCCAGCTTCTGGGTATTTGCTCACCCCAGCCATTGATCAGAGGAGCTAAGGGAATAAGAGATGATCCCTAGAGAGCACTTCTGCTGTCCAATATGCTGTTCTCCTTACCATGCATTTCCTCTCGTCACCTTTTTCTTCCTGTTGAAATCTCTTCTCTCATGTTGCAATCTAAATACCATATCCTCTCCCCAGTCCACTTAGCTGGAACTAATTTCTTTTCTATACCCTCATGGAAATTTTCTTTTATCATATAGCTATTTTTATGTTCATACTATCTTCTCCATTGGATTACAAGCTTTCTAAAAACAAGAATTAGGCCAGCGAGATAGTTCAGTGGATTAAGCACCTGCTTCAGCAAGTGCAGGGACTGGGGTTTGATCCCCAGGACTGCATGCTAGGCCAGCCCCACCCCCAGGTGTGCTGAGTCGGCCACCGAATCCAGGTGTGGTGGTGCATGCTAATCTCAGCACTGGGAGGCTGAAAACAGGAGGATCACTACAAGTCCAAGCTGTGTAGTGAGGCCCCGTACTAAATATATTAAATAAATAAACAAACTGCATTGCTTAATGTACAATACCTTTATGGAACACACACCAGAAAATGTTGGCTGAAACACTGAAAACCCACCAGCAACTCATTAAAAAGCCCCATGTGGGCCAGGCATGCTGACACCTGCCTGTAATCCCAGCACTTGAGAGGCTGAGGCAGGAGGATCTCTGCAAGTCTGAGGCCAGCCTGGGCTACATAGCAAGACCATGACTCAAAAACCAAAAATCCCATGTCCATGCCCAATAAATGACTGAATGAACATACTAGAAAAACTGTACACCATACGCAAGACACACTCCCAAGCCAGCGCTGCAAAAGCAGAGACAATTTATAAGAGTTTTGTGCTGTAAAGCATTGATGAGAATTGGTTCCTGTCTCATGTGGATAATAGATATCCACAAAAAGTTATTGAGTAGCTAGCTGTCTAGACATGTGTTAAGTAGTGATCAGGGTGAGTAGAGGGCCCAGAGGTCAAAACACATCCATTTTTTTATTTTCATGTTTTTGATACAGATACAAAATTTTTATTGTGCTCATTTACCATGAAAAGAGGCAATACCTGCAGAAGTGTATTTTAAGGGTTAGTGAAAGACACCACCACCGAGGAAATGACCCAGTTAAGGCTATGGTCAGGAAATTCCACCTGGCAAAGCTGTATGGATGTAGGAAGTAAGGTCAAGAGAAAAAAACACGTTTTATGAAAAAGATTTGATCCTTTTTAAAATAGGCTTGAATGCCTAGAAATTTCTGTCATGACTTCAGGACGTCGTGGAATAACTAACTGACTTTCTAGGAAAAGTGATTTCTGTGGTTTCACAGGATTACATTTTGGTTTAGTCAGAGAGGCTTTCTACCGGTCTTCGCCCAGGGGTTAGGTTCTAAACTCTTCTAACTGGGTTTTGTTTGTTGGTTTTCCAAAGTCTGAGGGTGCCTTTTGTGGGACAGTTGTGGTGGTAGGGAAGGGAGCAGCGCAGGAGCGATTGGAAACTTGGCGAAGAATTCGTTGTAAGGGTGAACTATTTCCAGCTTCTCCGCCGGCCCCTCCACAGAGGCTACGTGAGTTTATCCTTTCCTGGTCTTTGAATTCTCCCGTGCAATTCTGTTTCCCGGAGCTCAGAAAAGGAGAGTTAGTCATCAGTTTCTTTGCATCGCGCTCCTATTAGTAGGCAAACTCAAGTTCTAAGAGTAAACAGCAACCGCCAAAGCAAACACCTGGGGCGGGTCCTGCAGCGCAGGCCTCGGCGGGCAGAAGCCTGCAGCTGGTTTGCTCCAGTGTCAGCGGAGAGCGGGTGGCGCGCCGGGAGCCGCAGGGCCCGCCCCGCCGGAGGAGGGATCGGCCCCCTCTCCTCCCTCCCTGCACTTGGCATCTGGGTTGGCCAGGTTGAGAGAAACATGTCATTAAGGTGTTGTCAAAGCGAGCCCTGTAGGTGTGGGCCGTCCCCGGCGTTTGTGATTTTAAAGTTTCAAAGGGGAGGACTTATTGGATATGGGATCAAGTTCGTGAAACCGTCTTGTGCGTCTAGAAAAATGCCACCCAGGAGGCGCCAAAGGAGCTAAAGAGTGACAATCACAGAGCACCAAAAATGACGAAAGTTCCTCAGGGGGCTGATTTGAGTTTCCTAAATGAAGAGGAAGCCAGGAAGATCCTTCGGGTGCTGGAGAGAAATGAGGAGCTGCAAAGGGCGGAGAAGGCCAGGATCAGGTACGCGGCCAACCCCTTCTCCCTTCCTGGGCGGGAGCCGGGGCTACCCCGGAGCGCGGCGGAGCGGAGCGGGGCGGGGAGGCGGAGCTGCGGCGCGGCGCCTGCACCGGCTCGAGCTGCGCGCGGAGCGAACCTGGGGACGCGGGGACGTCGCGCGG